TTCTTCAAATCTATAGTAGTTTCAATATCTGATTGTAATTTATAAGCATGAGGCTTTTCTTTTGTTTTTTTAATTTTTTTTTTAAATATTTTTTTTTTCTCTTCATGCATAAGATTCTTTTATTGTTGTATTTTTTTCTCTTATAGTTTTTTTTTGGTGGCCTTTCATTATTTTCATCTTTTTTTATTTTTTTTCTATTAATACTTTATACTAATTCCTTGCAATATGAACATGCATCAATAATCCATTTCTTGGATCATACTATCTAGTAATTTATCAAATATTATTACCAACATATTTTAAATTATTTTTAGTAAAAAAATTCTTTTCAACATAATTCATTGCATTTGACTACAAAGAATTAGATTTTCCTAAAAATTCTGAATTTATGCTTAAAATTTGCTTGAATTTTCTTCCACTCAATATATTGATGCTTCTTTGCTTGAGATTGTATGCACTTTAAAAGTATCTTCCACAAATACCTTAATTTTTTTTTTTTATCAAAATTAGTCTATAATTTTTCTCCCCTTTCTTTTAAGTGTATCATACCATCTTTGAAAAAACAAAATCCTTAACATAGCACCTCTATAAAATCCTTATATTCTCTTCTTGAATAATCTATGCTATGACACCACATGTACCTATGTACTATATCTTCTATTGATCCTAAATTTTGTTTTATTAATACTTTTGATGATTGATTATTTTTTTCAAGTTTTAAAAATTTTATTTATAAATCTCTCATTTCTTGTATGAATTCATTGATGTCCATGTCTTCTTTCTTTGATGTAGCCATTGAAGATTGAATCATAGATGTAAGACAAGTAATAGGTATTTTTAGTTTAGATACTTGCAATAGACTTTGAATACCCACCTTATCATTTTTCTTTTTTTTTTTTTTCTTTTTTTTTTCAAGCATTACTACTGCCTCTTCTACTTCCTTCTAATTTGTTGTCAATCCTTCATCTTCTTCTTTAACTTTAAACAAGATTTTTAACTTCTCTTGCAACTCTCCATCAGCTCCTCGAATAATTTTTTTTACTTTATTTGGATCTAATAATTGCTTCTCTTTCTTTGATAGATAAGAATATTATTTTTCAAAATTCCTTAATAATTTTGATGCTATAAGATCCTTCTTAGGCCTTTCAATCCATTCAAAAAATGACTTTTTTATGACTTTCTCACTATCTTTTTTATAAAAAAAAAAAAAAAAAAAAAAAAAAAAATCCTTTAATACTTGAGATAATTTTCTCCATAAACCTCCAAAATATTCTATAATTGACCTTACATGATTTCTTCAATCAGAAATTTTTAAAAGGAATCAATTCTTGAAAGAAAGGATATTACAAAGATTGATCAAATTGATCAATCTTATCTACAACCACATGTAATGCTTCTTTGTCATACCTTCATTGCGATCTTTAACTTGTTGATATTGCATAAATAAAGAAAAAACTTCAAACATGCATACAAAGTTAGGATCAAAATACATACCTTATCTTCTACTTGTATTTCTACTTGTATTTTCAATTGAAGCTCCATCCATAGCTCTTCTTTCAACTCTTTTTTCTTTCTTCTCCCTAATTCAAAAAAATCCAACAAAAATAAATATTTTTTATTTCAAGCTTTTTACTTTAGATTTATAAGATAATTTGCTATAATATTTTGAATTAAGATATTTTATAATATAATATTTTTTCACTCTTTTATCTATAAATCATGTTACATCACTATAATGATCCATCATCAGAAAAAGTTGTAGTTTCTAAAGATGTGTAATTTCTTAAGAAATTGTCATCTAAATCAACTTCACATCCTAACATCAAATTCTTAGTTTCTTTAAGCCTTAATAATATATTGAAGAATGTATAAGTATATTGTTTGTTATTAATGATCTTGCCTTTAATGCCAACAATACAATCCATACATAGAAAATAAATGGTGTTGCTAGTAAGTGACTCTCTATTATTGACAAAACTACTAATAATTTATATACAATCTCCAACAATATCTATTGACAGCCATCAATGTAACAACCAATTTGATTTTGCAATAGTTTGATTCAATCTACCAAAACTTAAACTATGGAAGTCATAACAATTATAATAACTAATAAAAAACCATAATAACTTTATTTGCTTTAATAACTTATAACTTTTTGCTTAAATTGTCAAAAGCATAGAACAACTCAATCTTGAATGTATCATAAATGATTTACACTAAAAACTTGCTATGAAATCTAAACTTGGCTCTATTTATTATAATAACACTTGGATAATTATATCATTCCTATAACATATCTTATCTATTATAATTTAGTAGATATATAAAATCAAATTGGATATTAATAATAAACCATATAGATTTGAAGCTAGAATTGTAGCTCATAGATATTAACAACAACATAGTATCAACTACCAACAAATCTTTGTACTAATAATTAGGTAGAAATCCATTCAAACCATAATTATTTGTACAAGATACAATAGATGTTGACTTGAATATGTGCATGTTATTACAACCTTTTTGAATGAAATATTACACAAAGATCTATATATATATATGAAACAATCCTTAGAATGCATCAATCTAGAAATAACATATTTGGTATATAAACTAAATTGTTTATTCTATAGTACTAAACAAAGTTCCAAAGAATAGTATAACAAAATTGATTTAGATTTGAAAAGCCAAAACATACATTGTATAGTAGCCAATCTAAACATATATTATAACAAAATCAACTAGCTCAATATCATATTAATATTATATATTAATTATTTATTGATAATTTATTGATAATAAATTTTGACACTTTGGGTATTAACAAATTTTAACCTAAATTGAGCAAACTACACAAAATGCCAAATTTAAGACTCATAAAAAAAATTGAAGCATACAAGTATTTCAAACAAGCCATGGCATATTACTTCATTAAAGAGATTATGTTGATTTGATCATAAACAAGTACTTTATATTTAATTACACATTAATTTATATTCTACTTTCTAAATCTATAAAACTATGAAGAGAATAAATACACCTCTATCCAACTAGATAACATATCAATAATTTATAAGGTAGTTTTACTATCTCACAAAAATGTGTTATAATATTAGATTTGTAGCATCCCTAATTAGTCATTATCTCTACAATACTTAAGAATTATATCACAAAGTTGTCACATCTATACTATGCTACTTTAATAAATATCTATCTTTGGACTTTTGGTTTCTAAAAAGTGGACATATTACATTACAAGGATAATTTGATGCAAATTAGAATAATGATTCTAACACCAAAACTTTAATAATATGCTACTTATTCCAAATTGGACAAAGTTCCATCTCTTGAAGTAACAAAAAATAAAGTTCATGTAGTTGATCATCATGCAAAGCTAAATACCATTTTTTGGCCCAAAGCATATACAAAGCAATCTAATTATGAAGATTGATGAAAGAACTAGGTTTTTAAAATAATAAAGCAATAATATTTTATTATGACAATCAAAGTACAATAAACATCACAAAGAATTCAATGTTTTGTAAGAAGGCAAAGCACTTTGAGATGGATTAGCACTTTATTGAATAAAAACAAGACAATAGAACAATCAAAATTGATTTTATACCTACATCAAATCAACCAACGGATATGTTTAGAAAAGCTCTTTAAAGAATCAAATTTAAACAATGTAGAGATAGGCTCAACTTATGATAGTAGAAGAAATAGAAAGATTTTGATTCTAAGCCTCCTATACAAAACTAAAATTATAGTAAGAAATTTTTAGCCTCTATTCTATTCTTAGATTTCTTGAATTTGGCACAGCTAAAACCTTTCACAAACTGATTACATTCTGCCCAAAAAGAAAAGGTTTCTGTGCATCTTCTTTGTTGGATTGTATAAAACTTCGTGACTGGAATTAGTCCACACACTTGAAAGACATCACAAACAAAAGACTACTCGTTACATTGCAGCAACTCCTCTATGACCACTAGGGGTTTGTCAACAATTTGTCTGCCAAAAATCCACCGCTCTACAAAATCAAGACATAATCAAACGACTGAGTTCAACATTAACAAGTCATCCTATATTTAAATCCACAAAATCTAGAGCTCCACAAAACTTCTTAGTAATAGCTAGCATTACATCTAAAACAAGACAGTATTCATACAACAATTGAAAGAACACATACTAAATTAGAATGTTGAACTCGTCTAAGAGCATCCATTGCTAAGAACACCAACATGAAGAATTTATGTTGAGTGATGAGTGCAGGAGAATCTGTTAAACGATGAATTCACAATGCTACAATAATTACACGTCGTTAACAACTTCAGTCATCCTACAAACTTCCACCTACCACCTCACTTTACTCAATACTTAATACTAACTTTTTCTTGCATGTAATGAAACACTCGGTATCCTAGTCATTATGAACGTCTTACATCCTTTGCATAACTCTGGAACCCAACTTATTCATTCAATCTTAATCCAATTGTGCAGGAAGTACAATGGCAACGTTTAACCAAAAAAATTGAAGACATGTAAAAACTATCAATTACATTAGGAATAAGGCACAGCATCATCCAAAGGTCCCTTTCTTCTTCTCTAGAGGCTTTTTATTTGAATAGACACTGTGGTTCTTCTCTAACAAGTACTGTTGTTTGCATCTCTAACAAGTACAGTGGTTTCCCACATAGATAAGAAGTGAGAAAGAAGAATGGAAATGGAGCTCGATTATCATGAGGGCACAAACAAATATAGCTCAACGAGGGAGTGCTAGTGTGAACGCAGCAAAGCAGCTTATCATGTCCCCACTCTGGGAACTGGGGGTGCCCGGAGGACCCACGTCTATTCAACCGCTACCAACCACTACCAGCAAGAAAGGGCTCGGAAGAACTTCACGGACGGTCTGACGGACGGACGGATGGACGGCCGCCTTTGACGGACGACAACCTGACGACGCCCTTCCCAATTTATGCCGCTATCGCACGTCAGTCATTGACGCGATTCGTCGTCAGTCCCTCTGCTTTCACGCCCTTTGTGGCCTCCCTGCGTCCGCGAAATCCCTCTCTGTGGTATCGCAACCGTGGTCGATCGATTCCTGCAAGCCACCCATATCCTCTCTGCTCTGCAAGCCGGATTCGGAAGCAGTATTTGGGTGGAGGTCCACATTCAGGCGGCCTTATTTGAGCTCTGCCTTGGATCAGGTTGGCGGAGCGAGGTCGGAGCTTCGGTGGTTGGGTGCAGGTTGTCGCTGCCCCGTGAGTGGAGATGGCGGCCTCTCTGTTATCCAGAAAGACTATGTGCGTGGGAACGGAGGCGTGCGTCGTCGCTAAGAGGATTGTGGGTGCAAGAACGTGCAATGCGGTGTCGTTGGGGTCGTCTTTCAATGTGACGACGAAGGTGAGAAGACTCGGGTTGGGTGGGTTGGAGCCGGCGCGTCGTCTGCCGGAGCGGAGGGGCGGAGTGGTGCGGAATGTGGCAGCGCCGCCGACGTTGGTGCCAGAGCCGGAGACGCCTGAGGTAGCAGAGGAGGAGCAAGAATTCAACCCGGCAAGGAAACCCCCCTTCACATTGAGCGACATCCGGGCTGCCATTCCGAAGCATTGCTGGGAAAAGAACACGTGGAAGTCGATGAGCTACGTTGCGCGCGATGTAGCGATTGTGTTTGCTTTGGCGGCTGGCGCTGCAGCTTTGAACAGCTGGTTTGTTTGGCCGTTGTACTGGCTGGCACAAGGAACCATGTTCTGGGCTCTCTTCGTGCTGGGTCACGACTGGTAATTGCACTAAAACCTGTTCGAGATTGAGTGAATGTTTAATTTGTGTGAGGCTGTGTGGACAATTCCATGTGAGAGACGTGGAATCCTGTGAGTGCTTGGACTTGGTTGGTGAACGTGGATATTACTGCAGGTTTTGTGAATTTTGTTGGTACTCTCTACCTCGCTCATCTCACAGTTTTGAAAAGCTGGCACGATTACCTACCTTGAGGGATTTTGCAGAGCTTGTGGATTGGATTTGAGGAGAGTGAACTTGATGTGAATGCTGGTCAAACGTCCGTGGCGTGTGTGTGGAGCTGTGTTTCCATCCAACGAACTTGATGTGCAGTCTTTAAGCATGAACGTTGCTTTGTGTAATTGCAGTGGTCATGGCAGCTTCTCCAACAACAAGGTGCTGAACAGTCTGATCGGTCACCTAACGCACTCGTCCATTCTTGTTCCATACCATGGGTGGTGAGAAGCTTTCACGTGCCCTTCTTCATCGTGCTGAAGTTAATGACGTACATTGTATTCAGCTGGCAGAGTTGTGAGTAAAGTTTTTGATGGGTTGGACGCAGGCGCATTAGCCACAGGACTCACCACCAGAACCACGGGCACGTGGAGAACGACGAGTCATGGCATCCTGTACGTCTCTTGAATCGCTGGGAGCAAAATAGTTGGTCGAAATGAGCATCTGATTTGGAAGCAATCCAGACATTGTGTATTTCGTATTACTCTAATTACTGTTGATGACTATTGCAGCTGACGAAAAGCCAGTATGACAATATGGACTTTTGGGCGAAGGTTGGGCGATTGAAATTCCCCTGGGCAATGTTTGCGTATCCATTCTACCTGGTAGGTTCCTACACCACGGATGTGGACGAGTGCGCATGAGCATTTGAGAAGGGGTGGGCGGTTTGTATTTCAGGAATAATAGATGAAGAGTAAATATGTGCCCTGTTACAATACAATATGCTGTCAAGATTGTTTTTGAGGTGACACTGGTTTTTCTGATCATAATTTCAGTGGACAAGGAGTCCCGGAAAGAATGGATCGCACTACAACCCTAAAAGTGACCTATTCGTGCCGAGCGAGGCGAAGGATGTGATCACGTCCACCACATGCTGGACAGCAATGCTTGCAGGTCTTGTGGCTCTGAGCTTTGCCGTCGGACCCATGTGGGTGTTGAAACTGTACGTGGTGCCGTACTGGGTGAACGTGGTGTGGCTAGATGCTGTGACATACTTGCACCACCACGGATACGACAAGAAGGTGCCGTGGTACCGTGGAACGGTGAGCACATTGTACTGCAAAATTGGACGGTAGTAGATGTTCACGAGGGCAGCTCATGTAGGAAGAGGTGGTCCTGTGTTTTGGAAACGAGCATCTGACGGGATTTGGATTACTGGTTGCAGGAGTGGAACTACATGCGTGGGGGGCTGTGTACAATTGACAGGGATTATGGAATCTTTAACAACATCCATCACGACATTGGTACCCATGTGGTGCACCACTTGTTTCCTCAGATTCCTCACTACCATCTGATCGAAGCGGTAAGTTGTGCTAGTTGAGCAATTGTCGGACGAAATGTTGGGTACTGTGTTAAGAGTTGTGGACATTATGTAGGTGATGGTGACGGGGTATGCCATGGAGGCTGAGGTGCAATACTGTCTGTGCAGACTGAAGCGGTCAAGCCTGTGTTGGGAGAGTACTACAGAGAACCAAAGAAGTCAGGACCACTTCCATTGCATTTAATGGAACCTCTTCTGAAGAGTTTGAAGGAGGATCACTACGTTGCCGATACGGGCGATATTGTTCACTACCAGACAGATCCCAACTTCTAAGAAATTGTAATATTTAGCCGAGGTCTTCCCGGAAGAAAGGCGGGTTGAAGGATCAAATCAAGCTCTAACGGTGTATATGCGAGACGAAACCGGAATTGGTAATGTTGATGCAAATAGGTCAAGAACCTTCACTACTCACTTTGTCATTTTATTAAACCATTGGATCATTTTTGTGCGTAAATCCTGTAGTGGTTTGAGGGTGGCTGGTTCATCCAAGGAGGAAGTTTTTTTTTTTTTTTTTTTTTTTTTTTTTTCCTTTCATGGGTTCAGTATCCAAAAACTGTTGGAGCTCTCATTCTTTATCCTGATGGGAAACATTGATAACTCCGTGTACTAAATTTTTAGTGTAAAACAGCAGTGACTCTTACACTTTCCAAAACAACTCTCATTAATATTAGAAGCTGGGAAAGTTGCGATGACTGCAAATGTGCCAAAAAGGCCAGTAACAAAGCCTCTTATCAATCGAAAAGGACCAGATTTTTCACACAATGGTTGGATATGTCGCGTGTCTGCCAAAAGTGATGTTGCAGTAGGTGGACTTTCATCAGATAAAAAAATATGTGCATCGTAAACATCTTTCAGCCGGAGTGATGTTTCTTTGAGGATAAGATATGTACATTGAGATCATTTCAAGAACTATTATCTTGTGAACTATTTTAAAGCTTGTTGGTAAGCAATTGTGACCCCCTAATTTGACGTAGAAAGTAAGCAATTCTTGTACTATGTGTTCACAAATGCACATGTACGATTTTACAATTCAAATTTGCCAACTTATAAATTGTCATAATCCTATCTTGTCTACAAAATGTTAACATATATTACAAACCTACATTGCTATCAACTTTTAAAGAAACAAAACTCAAATAGAACATAAGCAATTTTTCATTATACACAAACACTCTTCTATTTCAAATACATATATATATATATATATATATATATGTATATATATTTATTTATTTTTTCTTGCTTTCTTTCTTATTGTGGCACAACTGAATACATCCACATCAAAAACCTGTCCCCCTATATTCAATTTACAAAAATAATATAAAACTTCTATTTGTTTTCTGTACATTATTCAAAATTTGTTGTCAAGAATAGCTTCGGTTCTCAATCAATTCTTTGATTGGATGAAACATATTTACAAACCCAATTAAACTTACTTGTAATAATTATAAAATTTTGAGTAAATTTTGACATCAACAAGTCATTAAACAAAAAGTATATAATAAAGCAAAACATATTTTCCAACCGGTTGGAAAAACTGCTGCAGTTTGAAAAAGACAAAAAGAAATAATTGATGTATTTGGTCAAATTTTTGTATACGCCAAAAACTTTAAATTAACTTTGATAATTAATTTTCAATAAAATCAATTACATGTTTATATCTCGATATTGCTATTTTTAAGTGTTTATATGGTTAAGACCAAAATTAAAATTTTAAAATTTTCCAACCACTTAAAAAACTAGACTAAAGCTAGGATTTCACCTTCAGAAGGGCTCTAATCTCTCTACTTTACCACACTGCTTGAAGATATTCACAACTTTGGATGATTAGAATTCAAAGAATCAGGTGCCTGAAATTCAACTTATACACAACGTCGTCCTTGAATTGTCTATTTGATACGCAAGTTGATATGTATTGAACTTACAGCATCAACAGAGAGAGAGCCTCACAAGCCAGTATTTTTGCACAAGCAGGAATAGCATAAGTTTCCTGAAGCTACAAAAAAGAGCTAGAAAAAAGAGCCATTGAAAGCGTTGCAGACAGCTGGAGAACATGGAAGCATGGGAGCAGGGGTTTCATGAGTGAAGAGAATCTTAAACCAGAAGCCTCTAATTAGCCTGCTTGATATTCATGCGGCTTGTCTGCCTCTCAGCACCAAAAATCGGAGTGGTACAAGAGAAGACTCATACTTCGTACACAAAACAATTCACAATTCACCGCACGTAATACACATAATAGATATCTCTCCTTGAAGAATAGAAATCTTGGGTTGCAAAAAAAAGGAACGTACCCTATTTATAATAGTTGAAGATGATTACCAATGACAAAGGCACCGAAGAAACAAGCCAGGGATCGAGTAGCACGCCAACAGCGAAATACACTCACAATCGTAATAAATATCTCCTCTCACTAGAGCCGGCAACGGGTCAAAGTTTATAATGTCCAGCCTTTGTCAAGCAATCCCACAATAAAGTGCAATGAGCTCTGAAGAGAGTCGTTGCAAGTGCCAAGGAAGAGCTCCCAAAACCAGAGATCCAGGGCTAAGACCGCCGAGATAAGCAGCAACGCGAGAGTCTGGTATCTGTTCAAGGCCCATCCAGAACGTTCGGCCAAGGAACTTAATATCGCAGAGAAATTGCCAGCAGCGTTGAGTTTGCGCCCCTTGATAGCCCATGCAGTCCGCCAGTTGATCCCCGTAGGCTCCAGATTGAACTGCTCTCGCAGCCGACGATCCATATCTGGTAAATGCCCGCTGCCGTAAAATATTGCAACCTTCTTGCAACCCTCCTTAAAGGAAGCTTCAAGTTCGTCCATAGCGATTCGGTTCCGTTCGCCGATGATCACCGAATTCTCCACCAATGATGATGTGCTATCTGTCAAACTGCCAATTCATGTGAATGTATGGGTTATTCCGATATTTAGCAGCTACAAACTTCTGAAAATAGGTTTGAACTTATTCATGTGAGAAATTCTAGAAAACAGCAGTTGCAACTTACTCAGAACTAATTTGTTTAGCCAAGAACACTTTAAAAGCGCCAGGAATGTCCAGGTCCAAAAGCGCCTTCATCTCTGGTGATGCCTTAAGAGGTGCTTCTGAAGGTGCACAGACGCCCTCTATCAAAAGCAATCCGACCAATGGCATTGGTATCACTCGTGACATCCATTGCAACCTTTGCTGCCATGGGTTTAGACCAGGATTCGGAGCAAGAGCAGCTTTTGTGATCGCTTTACTTGCACTGGCAGTCAAATCCTTCGCAAAAGAAAGAAACGACTCCCCACGCTCCCGCTGCATTCCATAACATACCAGCCCTATTCTTGTCGTAAGCAAGGACTCCCTAGTGGCAGGACGAGATTGACAAACGAATGGGATATATACGAAACCATGAGACATATTTTACCTGCAAAATTTCGAAAGTGTCGTAGTCGAGATCAGCATGGTACCAATTTTCACGGCGGTAATCCATGCATTCTAACTGGAACTCCAAAGTAAGAAGGGATGCCATCGTTCGCTGAATCGTGCCTATTATACTAAAACCTTGACCACCACGACGACCAGGAAGCCTTCTCGGCGGCTTCCATCTCATCTTCCCAAGTCTATTGGTTTGTTCCTTATCCTTATCTGCTACCATTTCATATAATACACGATCATACTTACTCAATTCTTTCTGTAAAGACGAGAAGTACCTGTTTCAAGAATCCACATGTTTCTACATTAGAAAAGAAAAATCGGAAAGAGACATGACCGATTTCAAATCCTGTGCAGAAGATCCAATTCGCAGAGGCAGAGAGAGGTAGCAGAATCTCATTGACCTCAAATGACCAAGGATTTTGAGCGCATAAAAACCCAGACACGCTGCAATCAAGAAAATCGAAAGAATCATGTGAGATTGTGAACTTACTCCCTATCAGCAATATGAACTGCTGCCACCAAGTCCACCTGTGAGTGCGCGTCAAAGCAACATACAAAACACCAGCGAAGGGTTTCATTCTCTGCTGATTCAAGGCAGGGGGTCCCTGTTGTAAATTGAAACAAATGCAAAAACAAGTACATAATTCTCATTCGAACGGAAAAGAGACGCATATGGAAGTTCAGCCAATACATCACCTGCTGCGGCCGGAACAGTGACCACGGAAACCGATTCCTATAAGTGATTATAGCAGTCTGCAATTCAGCTCCTTCGGAACCTTTGTCACGAAAACGCGTGAAGTCAGTGATAGAATTCAATTCTCCTACTCGTTCTAGAACCTCCATACGGGCATCCTCAAACTCCATCTCAGTAAGTGGAGGCGGCTCTGATGCCCAAGAAAGCTTAGCCCTAAGTGCCATCCGCCCGCCCTTCCCACAACCATTTCCAGTACCCCGCCTTCTTCGAAACCCAGGAGACAACACAAAGTCGTCAGAATGCTCATTGCTGTTGGCCACTCGCCGCACTACCATAGCAAAACTCGGATCATGCTGGTAAGGAGATCTCAATAACCGAAACGAGAGAGCTTGGCACTTGGAACCTACAGAAGAAACTACCCTGCAAGGACTAGCACTGGATTCCGCTTTGCACAGGAATGTTGTTGAAATTACCCCGGTTGCGGCCGTCATCCTGATAAACCCCAAAGAATTCCGAACCCCTTCCGCTTACAGAGTTCTTCTCTAAAGTCGACTGATGTACATCCCACAAGTACAACTGTCCACTGCCACCAAAATCCTCAAAATCGAGTGAAACAGAAAAGTACAACCCTGCAACCATGCGGTGATTTTCAACCCACCAAGTATTAGTAACATCATCTCGGAAGGTAAACCGCAAAGAATAACAGCCACAATTTCAAATCAACTATATACACGAACATACAAAAAGCAAAACCCCTCAAAAACATAAATAGAACACAAGAAACAATAAATAACGTATAATTCAATAGGTTATGAAGTAGATTCCTAAGCAGTATCTGCTCCACAGCTTCACAACATCAAATCACAAACTCAACAGCTATAAAATGCCAGCATGAATCGCACCAGCAACGAGAAACGCAATTCCACAACATTACCTACACATCTTCCATCCGGCATGCGCGCAAGCCCTTCTCGCCTCGCCTCTCCCCTCCTCCCCACCCACAAATTGTCTTCCACATGGAGAATGAAATTGGGCCAGTGATCATCACTTCGGCGAAGAAGGGATTTCCAGCTCCGAGGCGAGGCTGGGGCAGGGAAAGGCAGGGATTCCAGATACTTTTGCCGAGTTGTGGCTGCCTTCCAGACTGAGGGATTGTTTGATAGGCCGCGGTAGTAGGCTCACGCCCCCGTTTCCGTGATACGGTGGACTCAAGCTTTAATGCAACTTTTGGCTTTTTTAATGGGGCACGCGACGATCGCTAGGTGAGGACTTTAAAGTGAACACTTTAAAGTTGGACATGGTTCTCTCTCTTCAAGAATAAGCAATTACACAACAAATTTGGGAAAAGGCCACACAAATGTCGCCTTTACTTGGTTGGTAGTATTTTATACATTATTGGTCTTTTTAAGTATTATTATTATTTTATTTTAAATATTATTTTAACCTTTTTTATAATAGGAATGTAGTTTGGATGAGTGTTGGATTGAGACGTGTAGACTTAGATTTTTTAGAAAATGAAATGTCAGTGCAAATAAAAAAAAATAATCATTTTGTAAATTTTTCGTTTTACTATTATTTCTGCTACTTATCATTTCTAAGTAGAGAAATTTGTAAAAAAAATTTAAAAATCAATTTATTTATGGATGTTTTTTAAGGATTTTAAAACAACTGCCACTTTGGTTTTTCTTACATTAAATTCAAAATAAATACAAACATACATTAGACTTCATGATTAACATTATTGTATGTTTATTTGAAATGTGTCCATACACATTTCTCAAATAACATTTCTATTCTAAATATGAATATAGATAAGAAGTAAGTACTAGTTTTTTTTTAAATGTTAAGTAATTGTATTAAGACCTTGCAAAATGGTGAGTCATAAATTAAAGTGAGTGATAATATAAATTCAATCTTTTTTAAGTTTTAAAAATAGAATTTTATTTCTTCTTTCTTATATACATTAAATATGTTTAAATAGTTTTAAAATTTTTCATCTTATATATTTTATTAAATGAAATTAATTATGAATCTAAAAGGCTTGATCTTATATCTAAAATAATTAATCTAGTTTTGAATTTGATCTTGTATTCTTGATTTATACATAGTAGACCATACTTTTTTACAAGGTTGTATTGATATAAATCTTAACTTGATTTGACCTTCTTAATATCAAAATAAAAATAAATTCGTTATTTATAGTTAAATAATTAAATCTATAAAAATCTACATATGCTTCCAATATTATAATATGTCCATATATTTTTTGAATAAAAATTTAAAAAATTAAAATAAAATAATATTTTTAAATAAATTTCTTTACAATTTTTTTATTATTCTTTTTTGTGAGAAGTTTTAAACCAATTTCTAGTATATATTGATTTCAAATTGTAGTTTAATTCTATTGGTGGTCCATTGCACAAGTACAAAAAAAATATTTAGACATAATACTAGTATTTTTATATAATATATCTTAATTATTTTAATATTTTTTGATGTAATAGTTTGTTTTAAACAATCAAGAAAAATAAATAAATAAATAAATAACTTCTTTTGTAACTTATAATTTTTTTTTAGAATACAAAATTATTTTACATTTTTAGTATTATCACATAAACTGATTATATTGTTTTTATAGAAAAAAATAAATATTAAATTAAGAGCTACAAGATCTTGATTTTATTTGGATATTATATCATTTTAACTAGGATAAATTTAAGCCATCATTATTAATTTAAAATTTCTTAATAAGGAACTATTTTTACATTTTTAAATATAAAAATAATACTTAAATATTTTTTGATAATTAAATATTTTAAAGAATTTAAATTTTAAGATATTCTTACTTAATATTTCATTAATATATATATATATATATATATAATTATTAATTAATTGATCAATATAGATCAATACATCTATATTGATCAATTAATTAAAACCTATTAAAATTTAAACTACTTCTATTTAATCAAATACATATATTTGGAAGGAATTTATTTTAATATTATAATACTTTGGATAGACTTCAATTTTTCTATATTAGATAACAAAATTCTTCAGTTCAATAATCAATTAAAAATGTATGTCTAAAAAAAGATTAAAATATTTTAGCAAACATTTCTTAACATTACATTATAGTCTTGAAATATATGGAAATTTATTTTATACATAATTTAAATGTGATTATTGTTAATAAAAACCTAGTTTTTTTAGATTAACTACATTCTTATTGGTTTAAATAAATGACATGATTAAAGTATATCAATTATTAATTCTTCTATTCTTTTTTTTACTTTCTCTTTGATGTTTTTTTTTTATTTATTTTGATAACATTAAGTATAAATGTTTCAAATATATTAAATTACATTATACTAATTAAATATAGCATAATTTAACCATAGGGGGCTACAAGAAATATTCTAATTCACTTTGAGTTTTTGTTTTCTACCAATTCAAAACAGTTAAATTTAATATGTTGGTGATGTGTATAAGTCTGTTTATATATATATATATATATATATATATATATATATATAATTAATACCAAAAAAATTGCTACAATTTATTTTCGAATAACTAATAATGGTTTTTAAAGTTATAATATAATGTTTTTAAAATTTTATTCTTTATAATTAAATTAATTCACATTCTTTTTTTTAATAATTTTTTATAGTCAAGAATTTTACCTATTCTTGGTAAAATAATAAAAATATGTTTGTATATAGGTATTATGGACAATACAAATCATAAGTGATGATTATTTCGTATTATAAAATTAATAACATTTTAAAAAAATAAACTTAATCTTGTTGTTGCAATATGAAATGATTCATATTCTATAGGCAATTTCATAGGTAGTTTTTACATATTAAAACTAATTAGTGTAAACTTAACATCTTCTCATAGATCTATAGAAATCAAAGTTGGAAAATTGTGCCTTTGAGTATCTATGTGTAATTCTAAATTAAATACATAATATCAACTTTTATTTAATATGACTAATAAATTAACAACCTGGTTTTGGAGCAAATAAAATTATACTTCTACTTTAAAAATCAAGATATTTTTATCATTTTTATTGTCTTATCTTTTAACCTAAATTTATATGTACAAAAGATGTGTTAAACTATTATTGTGTAGTTTCGGATTTCACAACCAAGTTCAATCTAATAAAATCAAACTATACAAAATTTAATCCTAGTAGATAAGTAGTAGTATCTAGTATATATTTTAATTTTATATTTTTTTCTAAGTAATGAATAATGTAAAATATATTAAATAAATACTAATATTAAAAAAACATATGTATTAATTTCTTGATATGTTTGTAAAAAAAAAAGATCATATATTCTTATATCAAAGATGTTAATTTTTAATATTTTATTAGAATTGATCCAAATAATAATAATAAAAAAAATGGATACATGGATTTGTTTTGTCTATGAATGAATACTTGGATTTCTATAAGAATTGGATTTAAGATACTCAAGTTGGTTGTGCTTTATGTGTTATATATATATATATATATATATATATATATTATCTTAAAATTTAGTGTGGACCATGGCAATTTAATTTTTAAAAATTCTATCATCTTTAACAAATGCTATTGCCTTTGCTAAGGTAGCTTGAGATGATCTATTTGTATTAATACTTGAATATCCAAATAAACATATCATTCACTTATTAAGCATGAATGTAGTAGTAAGAAAAAAATCACTAAAGAACACCATTTACATCTTAAAGAATGCCATTTACTGACAACAAATATCATGATATTATATTAATTTTTAGTTATAAATTGTATAGTTGTTAATAAATTTTGTATGTATTAGAGCTAAATTGTATTTATAATAATATCCAAAAATTTGTTAAAATAAAATTTTAGATACATTATTGAAACTATTACTAATATTGACATTTTAAACAACTTATTTGATATTGTTTGTTACTATTAATTAATAAAATTATCTTATAATTTTGGACCATGGCAATAAATAAAAAATTAAATATTTGCAATGAATTATGCATTGTGCTTGACTGCTATTAATGTGGTTGTAAAAATAATTTAGTTTCAAAAAAACAAAAAAAGACACACTAATAATTTAACTAAATTTAGAAGTCTTAATTTTATATGACAATAGAAATATAATTCAATAGAAATTTTAATATTATAAAGTTGAGTATTTCAATGACAAGTTGTAGTACATTGATTTAGTAGTTAAAAATATTTGTATTATGACACATCAACTCTCAGAACTTGCACCTAGACATTTCTATTGTTTTAGATGGAAGATAAAGGACTTACCAAAAATTAAAGCAATAAAAGATTACTTTGTATTAAACAAAATCATCGTTGCAATGGTGTATAACCTAGTATTATCAAGATAACCAAGTATGACATATAAGATGTGTTAAATTGTATTTTGCAGCTGTTTCCTTTTAAATTTTAAAATTTGGAACTAAATTTGGATAAAAATTGTTATCTCATAAATATGTTATCGAAATGTTTTACTTTGAATATTCAAAAATCCAGTTGTCTTTTAAATGTTACAAAATGTTACAAGGTGGTGACTATTTTATATATTCTAACCAAATTTTCTTTGTTGCATTTATAAAAAAATTGTATTAAATAGTATTTAACAAAATCAATTGTGCAACATAAATGAATGAATAATTCATAAAATTTAAATTACGATTTGGAGAGAAATAGAAATAATAAAAAAAATATGTGGAAAAAAACTTCATTTGTCAAAAACACATAATGTCAAAAATCAATATAAACTACGTACTTTGTATTTTAATAATAATGATAATAATGATAAATCTGATATATCATTGTGTTTGTAGTTGTTCCTGTATTGGCTGTTATAAAACCTTAGATTTGATTTTTGCTTCTAAAAGATTTATCCTCTTTTTATGTTCAATGATTGGGCAGTAAATTCATTTATACAACTTGTAATATAACATTTATCTTTTATTTTCAACAATAAATTAACAAAGTTTTTAGTTTTCATATGAATACATTCATGATTTTTTTCAGTGAAGTTCAATATGGTAATAAAACAAAAACTTAATCAAATAAACAAAAAACAAAGTAGAAATAAGTACATCTTGTAGGTAGCAATTAGTAGCATCTGCAATGATGCATGCTTGATATATATATATATATATATATATATATATAAGAAAAAACAAATACACAACTATTACCATTTTACATTAAATAATTACCACTTTGCATTAAATAATTAAAAAGATTACAAACTATGAAAGCATGAACTCAATGAATTAAATTTGATAATTTATGCACGTGAACCATGAAATAAAAGGGGTTAGATTTCACCAACACAGAAACACCTCACGGCCCAACTGGAAGAGAGAGCAAGGATGGCTCTTGGGGGAAATCAGGCCCTAACAAAATGAGGGCCCTGCCCAACGTCGTAAGCTTTGATGAGGACATGAAGAGAGCTAAGCAGTAGTGGTATGCTGGGGACGTGTCTACGTTGGAAACGACACTGTGAATACAGTTCCACCCCAACTTCAGTCGCGACGCCCAGGTCGCGACCATGGCGCTCATGAGCGCATGAAGAGGGCCGAGGGGGAGAGGGTCGGGGAAGGGGGGGCAGAGTAGAGAAGGATATACTGCTGTTGGTTCATGAGAAGCTGCCACTTGCTCCACTAGAACCAAGGGAGCACGGTGGGAGAGACGCACTCTCACACATACAAACATGTACACACATACACAAACAGACCAGCATAGGGACACAACCAAGAGAGGACGAAGAATGGGGGTGGGTTCTTCTTCTTTTGTTTTGAAGATATAGTGGGAATGGGAGGGCACCACCGCGTCACGAGGCAGAGGCGCTAGGCTATGCGGGTGTCGTCGTCGTCTCAGTTGCTTTGCTTTGCTCTACTGCTCTCCCTGGTCTCGTCGCATTCCGAGGCCCGACTACTCTCGGCTCGGCCCTCGCCCCCCGTCCCTCTTGCTCTGCCCTTGTCGCTCTCTCGCGCTCTCTTCTGTTCTGCTCTGCGAGGGCCGCACTTGCACTTGCCTTGGCTTCTCCTCCCCTCTCTCTGCCATTCCGGCTGCCGCCCTCTTCCCGCACCATTGCCGCCCTCTTGGGAGCTCTGCTGGGTGCTTCCTCTTTCGAAATCGCGTTTGCGTTTCTGTGCTTGGCGCTTCCTCTCCCTTTTTGCCTGATTCTTGTCGCTAGCGCGGGTCGAATTTGGAGGAGCGCTCGGTGGCGTCGTTGCTGTGGCTGAGCGGCTTCTTCTGCTTCAGGTTCGTGCGTTTTTGGGTGCAAACGCTCTAGGGTTTTGCATGCTTGAGAGGTTTCTGGATCCGGGTCGGGGGTGGAGTTTGGTTGCGACGGCGGACGGGTTTGGGGTGGAGGTCGATTGCGGAGCGCTCGGTCGTTGGACGGTGGTGCTGGAATCTTCCGGATGTTGTTTGGTGTCGTGCGAGCTGTGTCGCGCATTTGGGGCATTGGTCCGAGGACGAGAAGACGCAGTTTGGGTTAGCTGTGGAATTGGATGTTAGCTGACGTGCGCGGAATCGAATTGGGAGCGTGCACGCCGGCTCCAGTCGAGGGGGTTTGGATTTTGTAAAGGTCGTATTTGAGGGTTTTCGAGCCCCATTGGAGTGGTGGTCGTGTTGTGGATGTGGGTCAAGGGTATGCCTGGTTGGTGGAAACGGCGATTGTGTGGGACAGTTGCGTGATAGCTCTTCGGGGCATGAGGGCACGATACAGGATGGCCAGTCTGTGAGATGAACAGGAGCACCCGGGCCGGCTGCGTACCGATGCGGCTTGTTGTGGCGGTGGTTTAGAGCGACTTGCAAATGCAGTGGTCGCTGGGAAGCCAGCATTTGAGGAGAGTGTGGTATTAGGTCAGGGATTGGGACTGCTCACGGACACAAGAGGACCAGAGATGGTTTTCAAGTTGAAGCGCGTGATGCAGCGCGGGACCAAGGGGAAGAACGACAATAATGAGAAAGCTGACGCATCCGCGTCGGCACCCAACACATCTGCTTCAGCTCCTGCGGGGGTGGTAGGTCAGGCAGCTGCCAGCAAAGCCGGCAACAATGTGGGGGCGCGAGCAGCGGTTGGTGCCCCTGGCGGCATCAAGGCGGGAGGTCCTGCAGCAGGTGCGCAGGCGGGTGGAAGGCAGGTGGATGCGGGGAAGATGGCGCCGGGGGCATTCGAGGCGCTGCCGTCGTTCAGAGACGTGCCGACCTCGGACAGGCAGAGCCTGTTCGTTCGGAAGCTGGTCCTGTGCTGCCATACGTTCGACTTCACGGATCCGACGAAGAATGTGAGGGAAAAGGAAATCAAGCGACAGACGCTGCTGGAGCTGGTGGACTACGTGACGTCGGGGTCGGGGAAGTTCACGGAAGCGGTGTTCGAGGACATCACGAGGATGCTGGCGGCGAATCTGTTCCGAACGCTGCCCCCGTCGTCTCACGAGAACACGGGTTCGGAGAACTTCGACCCGGAGGAGGAAGAGCCGACGATGGAGCCGGCGTGGCCGCACCTGCAGATCGTGTACGAGTTTCTGCTGCGGTACGTGGTGTCGAGCGAGACGGACGCGAAGCTGGCGAAGCGGTACATCGACCATTCGTTCGTGCTGAGACTGCTGGACCTGTTCGACAGCGAGGACCCTCGGGAGAGGGAGTACCTGAAGACGATATTGCACCGGATATACGGGAAGTTCATGGTGCACCGGCCGTTCATCCGGAAGGCGATAAACAACATATTCTACAGGTTCATATTCGAGACGGAGAAGCACAACGGGATCGCGGAGCTGCTGGAGATACTGGGGAGCATCATCAACGGGTTCGCGCTGCCGTTGAAGGAGGAGCACAAGCTGTTTTTGGCGCGGGCGTTGACCCCGCTGCACAAGCCGAAGTGCGTGTCGATGTACCACCAGCAGCTGTCGTACTGCATAATCCAGTTCGTGGAGAAGGACTTCAAGCTGGCGGACGTGGTGATACGGGGGCTGCTGCGGTACTGGCCGGTGACGAACAGCCAGAAGGAGGTGCTGTTTCTGGGGGAGTTGGAGGAGGTGTTGGAGGCGACGCAGAGCGCAGAGTTTCAGAGGTGCATGGTGCCGCTGTTTCGACAGATCGGTCGGTGTCTGAACAGTTCACATTTCCAGGTATGCGGCGGGATGGGTGGGAGAAGTGAGAGGAAAGGGGGGCGTTGCATGCGCAGTGGTCGGAGGTGCGGGTGTCGATGATGGGATGTGAGACTGGCACATTGGTATTTTGCGCACGATGGCAGGGATCCAGAGATGGCAGTGCATGATGTGCAGTGCGAGGATTTCGGGGTAGCTGCCCAGGTGGTGAGGAGTAGGAATTGCCGCAGTGGGTAGGCGTAGGGCATGATGTCGCGGTGTTTCAGTTGGACAGGAGTTTTTGTGATTTTGGAAGGGATGAGAGTTTTGTGGAGGGGCCGGGATGTGAGAGCGTGGTGAAGTAGAACGGGGATTTGGAGTGCCGTAGAAGGCACGGGGACGACTGTGAAGGTGCAGGGTAGGTAGGTTGCGTGGAGGAGTTGGGGAATGAGTCGCGAGCGGGAACGATCTGGTGGAGAGGGTGTGGCGGTGTGGGTATCATGGTGTGGGGTTGAGCGCAGGAGCGTGTGTCGTGGATCGTGCAGGGGGGATGAGTGGGGGTGGGTAGAAGTGTGGATGTTGTAGCGTTTGTGGGCGTGTATGTGAAGTTGGTAGTGTCTGACGGGACGGATTGATGGGTGTTGCGAAACACAGGTTGCGGAGCGTGCGCTGTTTTTGTGGAACAACGATCACATTGTGAGCCTAGTGGCCCAGAATCGGCTGGTGGTGCTACCGATCATCTTTCCGGCGTTGGAGAGGAACACGAGAAGCCACTGGAATCAGGCGGTGCACGGGCTGACGCTGAACGTACGAAAAATGTTTCTGGAGATGGATCAGGAGCTATTCCAGGAATGCCAACGGAAGTATCAAGAAGATGAAGCGAAGGCGAAAGGGATGGAAGAAGTGCGGGAGCAAACGTGGAAACGACTTGAGGCTGCCGGAAGGCAGAGTAGTAATTCGAGCAGTGACAATGCCCTTGCATCGTCGAATGATGTGCCGATTGTAAGGACGGTTGCAAAGGGCACATCAGGGACAGGAACCCCAATAGCCGCTCAGGGTGCAGCTCCAATGTTGGGAAAGTAGCCTTTTTTCTTGTTCTCTCTAGCATGAGATGTACGATGGTGAAGTTGATGACACAGGCGAAGAGTGCGCTCCAGCTTTGCTTCTTTTTTCTTTTTTTCTTGTTTTCTTTGTCTTGCTTTATTTCTTTCTTTCCTTCTTTTTTATTTTTCTGTATAGAGGTAGGTTAGGAACAGGCCCCTGGGGGTTTGCGTGAATCACATTGTGGCGTTCGTCATTTGAAAGATGGTTCATCTGCGAATCGATGGATGTGAAGATTTGGTTAGTAGCCAGTGATATCTTTCTCTGGAAGTAAATAGTTAGGGATTTGGAAAGGAGTTCTGCACAGTTATGGTGGTAGTGCAGAATTGAGTATAACATTACAGGAAGAGTGGTGACAGTTGGTGAGAGAAAGCATTCCAGCTGTGGAGACGTGCATTGTAGCACAATTACTTTAATATTGATCAATCATCCCGTGTGCCCATAAGAGGGCGGTTGTGTCATTTGGAGATGCAGAAACCTTCTGTACTATCATTGCAAACTTTTAGTAGGTGTTTCTTTGCACTGTTGCCTTGTTGCGAATAATTCTATCTGATGATCAAGTGTTCCGTTTTGTCAGATTATTGCGCATGTTTATTTCGTGACCTTTTCTTGTCCTGCTGTTTCTGGTGTTAAACTTTGCTAATATGTGAAATGTTTTTGTGTCTTTTTCTTTTTCTTCTCCTCTTTCCTGCGTGTTTCATGTTGTCAGTTTGGAAGCTGCTTGTCTTGTGTGCGAATGTTTCTTATTGTGATTATATCCCCAACGTTAGATTGCACTTCATTTAAATTACACATTCAAGTTCCACTGGCGTTACTTTTATTTCACTCACACAAACGGTTTTATCATATTTGATGGTTGAACTGCATTGAAATTACAGTGTCACGATGTTGATACCGTGTAGCGTGAAAATAACTTTCAAGTGAGATCTGTTTGAATCAATTCTCAGGTCGACGTGCAAACGCAAATTCGCAAAAATTTCCATCGGGAGAGGCTTTGGTGGGTTGCTTAGTAGCAACTTCGTCATTTAGGAAATGAATTGAGGCTGCGTGTGACGCAGCCTTTCAGGAATTATATGACAGAGGATGCTCTGTGGTCGATGGGTTCCTTGGTACAGAAAATCTTATGCTACTGGTCCATATTTCATCCCGGCTGCTCAAGTTGTCTGCATCTGTCCTGAGAACTGATCGAAATGAATGTCCGTTTTCTTCGTCGCTGTGTACCATCATTCTTGTCACTTAGGGAATTCTGAGCATCGTTGTTTTACTCTCGCAGTGTTGACTAGTGTGAAACCTTGTGCCCTCGCTCTCATCCTCCTTGCCTTGGCGTCCATACTCCTTGCTTCTTTCTGTTGATTACTCGTGCGTCAGTGATACGCTTTCTGTTTTTTCTCCACGGTTCACTTTCTAAGGGATGCTTTCTTGAACCCCTGAGGTATATATCAGGTTCTATGTTTGCTAGCAGACGTTTGCAGCGGGTAGCGTGGAATCTGCGGGACTAGAAGTAATCAAACGGTGTTGCACTTGCGATTGAAAGGCTCGGGGGACGGGTTAGGGTTTGTTGGAGTATCGTGTTTTCTATCAGGTGGTTGTTCCTTGGCTCCATATTTATTATTTTTCGTGTTATTTTTGGCGTTAACAGCTTGTGTGGCTGAAGGGAGAAAAAGCTACGATGTGTGTTGGTTTTGGGGCGACCACTTCATTTGTAGAGCTCTCTGAGATAGTTGCGGGAGATGACCGGATTTGTAAGGCGATGTTGAAATTTTTCTCTTGCATCTGTCACAAATACTTTTGAAAGGGTTGAAAAATTGGTGAAAGTAACCATGCACTGTTGCTTAGCGAAATATTTGAATGTGTTCTCATGAAGCGACGAGCAGTACTTGTGGCGGAGTCATTTGATTATTTGAGAGGAAGGCATGGTGGTGTGATGCTTGGAAGGTTTTGGTGATGGAAACTTGAGTTGCCATGGTTTGGTTGTGAATGACCCATGTTTTTAAATATATTCTAAAGATTAACGAACTTTTGAAACACTGACCTTAAAAAAAATCAAACGGCCTAGTTAGGAGTCGTGGTTTAAGTGCATTAGTTGAGAACATCTTGGATATCAGGTGGTGATTTTTTTTGAGGGTCATTCCAATCTTGAACGCGAATGTCTTTGACTGACGAGAATCGGTCTCTTAGCTTCTTATTTCATGTACGACTAATCTAGTAACCGTATCTTGTTTTGTATGATAATAACATGTAAAGCGCATCTTGAGAACTTGTAGCTTTTAACATGGCCCTCTAACCCTTAATAAGATGACTTCAAATACTTGGTGATATACTCGAGATGATTAAGTTCATTCGACAGTGTATATCCAGAACCCTTGTCGACTAAATGTCAATTTAGGTATTCATTAGATGAGCTCTTGTTTTTCGAAGCATAGAACGATTTTAGTTTTATCTTATGTTTCTCATATTTTACCTCATGGACATTGCCTCATTTCTATGTTGGTTTTTGTGTTTTGGCTCTATGTTTGAAAAATGCTAAATTGCTATGGAGATACTTTGCAGGGAAGCATGCCGCTTACAGGTACTCAAGGAAGCGATCGAAAGATCGCGATTGCAGTTGATTTGAGTGATGAAAGTGCCTATGCGGTGAAGTGGGCAGTGGCCAACTATCTTCGCCCTGGCGACAACGTAGTCATCCTCCATGTGCGGCCTACGAGTGTTCTTTTCGGAGCAGACTGGGGCGCAACGGACCAAGTTCTCGAACCTGATGACAAGGAGTCTCAGCAGAAAATGGAAGATGATTTTGACACCTTTACTGAGACTAAGAGCGCCGACCTTGCCAAACCGCTGTTGGACGCCGGAATACCGTACAAGATTCATATTGTGAAAGACCATGATATGAAAGAGCGAATCTGCTTGGAGGTTGAGCGTCTTGGAGTCAGTGCAATGATCATGGGAAGCCGAGGTAGGGGTTTATTGATTTCATTTTCCTTCTTGAATCAAGTGTTATGACCGACGCCATGCTTGTGAACATCCTTGCCATGTGTCCCCATCTGTACCGCATCTTCTAAACCTTGCAAATATCAGAGTAACATGCGAGGTTGTGTTTGGTTTAGAGTCGACCATTACTTGTTACAGTCATGATGCGGTGTCGCAATTGATTTTGAAAAAGCTATCCCACAATAAGATTTTGAAGAAAACGAAAGCAACAATTATTGCATGGGATTTGACGCACAACATGAGTCTGTTGCTTATAACCCCAGAAAATGCAGTTGTTTGTGCAATCGCTCTCGGAAAGTCTGATTAAACCCGTCTGGTTTTTGTGCCTGGCAGGTGTAGGTGCTACAAGACGATCTCGTAAAGCTCGTCTTGGAAGCGTCAGCGATTACTGCCTTCATCATTGTGAGTGTCCCGTTATTGTTGTGAGGTTTCCGGAGGACAAAAATGGGGAAACCATCGTGCATCGCTCGAATTCTAGACCAAGAACCCCCAGCCCACATGCGTCCCCAAGCCCATCTCCCAAAGTTCCGGCCCCAGCCGTGCAGAAGCTCGAAGGTGTGGATGAGGTGTCTGTTTGAGAAAAAATCATTGGCGCAACCCATTTCAAGACACATCTGTAGTCATTTAACGTTCCTCGACTTCGCACACAATATGGATCATACCGAATATCCCAGCTACCTGTTACATCCTTCAGGGAAATAATGTGATAAGGCTTGGTTTCACTGTTAGGGGTACAATCCGATTTCAGTACGTTGAAATACTATTTGGCAATGACCCACAGTCTTGCTCACATCTCGTTTGTAAAAAAAAGAAAACTCTGAACCTTCTACTATGTCGTATTAGATCCTCTTTGCGATTTGTTTGCCATTTTGAAGAGTCCATGAGTCGAGACCATTGTTGCATTGACCTGACCTTGTGTGGAACACATGGGTCACAGTTGGTGAGGCGGGACTTCATGGATTTAGCGTGTTTGCTGCTGTTCTCAGGACATGATGCTTCGTTAAATAATAAAATAGTGTTTTCGAAACACAGGCATGACGCAGTATCCTTAAAAGCTGAGCCACTGAGCACCCTACTTGTTGGACCTGGATCCCATGATCTCAGCTCTGGACTGGTGCTGCCGCGTTTCTTTACTTGCTTGTCCACTCCATGGAGGTCACTCTCTAGGACCTTCTTACTTTGGCATTGGGTCTTCCCGTTTCCATCAGTAAGGATTCACTGGATAATTTCCAGGATGGGGCGTCCCAAGCTCAGCCTTCTGAGTTGCATAAAAAAGTAGGAATGTTCATATATATGTATATATATATATATACACATATACATAAAGTACTACTGATGCCACCACAATTTTTTTGTTGCCACCAGAACTTTCCATTTACCACATGTCACCTTTGCCTAAAACCTTCCAAACTAATCAAAAATCTATTTTCAATACTTTTTAAACTATGTGATTGAACAATTTATATGAAAATATAATAAAAACTAAAAACATATGTCAAACAAGTAGCAAATTATGGTGGCAGTAACAATAACTTATATAGATGTTTGTATATAAGATACACAATACTTGTGATATGGGTTATTGACTTATGTAGATAGATATGTAAAAGTATTTAAAATAAAATTGGATAATGTAGTGAATTAATGTAGAAGCTAATTACATGTATGAAAAAATATCTATATTTTTGAAATAATATTGGAAGTTTGTTTTGTAGCAAGAAGTGAAACTAGTTAAATTATTATGGACATGTGAGTCACCAAATTGACTCGCTTGCATATTTTGCACATAAAATGCAATTATTATGCTTAAAATCACAACTTTTGTGATTTAGTGGTAGAATTCTTAGATAAATAAAAAACGAATTGCTAATAGTGGATATGCAACCTAGGGTAGAATTTATTAAGACAAATTTCTGAGATGAATATGTTTTTTTTAAAGTTAGCTAATACTAGATGACAGTCCAATGGGAGTAACCCTTGTTGTTGTGGATTCTTGTTTAAGATAGAAAGCTAAGAAATAATTGTTGATTCAAACCAATTCAAAAGAAAAAGGAAAACTTTATTTATTAGTAGTCCTTAAAAAAATAATATATATTATGGGAGTAAAAAAAGAAATAAGTTAGAAGCAAAATCAAAGGAGTAGAAAAAGAAAAAATGTTGTAGAGGAAGGAAAATCAAAAAGAGAAAAGAAGAAAAAAAGAGAAGAGGAGAAGGAAAAGGGGAAAAGAAAAAGAAAAAGAAAAAAGAGAAGATGAAGGGAAAGGCGAGAGGTTGCCTCTAAACTCTCGCAGCCTCTTTGTCGATGGGGTCCAAGCTGCCCCAGAACCTTCCCCTTTTTTCCTGTTTTTTTGTGTATGATGAGTCCCGGGCTCTGATCCCTGCGGATTTTCCTTATGTGTGTCTTTTTTTCTACGTATGTGTGGCTGCGGGGTGTGTTTTGTGTCTAGTTGAGAATTCTGGACGTGGAGTTGCTTCAATCAGGAGGTGCTGGTGGTTCTGGAGCTCGGTTTTCCCCTAGCGGCGAAGCTCTTCTCTTTGGGTTTTTTCTGTGTCTCGGTGAGGTGCTACGGCGGTTCTCTGGCAACGACTTGGTTGCGGTGTCTCTGGCGGCTGCTTGAGGTCGTGAAGCTGCTTCAAGCAGAGTTGCGGTGCGTGTTGGAGCAAGTTCCGACCTAGTAGAAGCAACGACTTGAGAGTGTTGCTGTTGCTGCCTTAGTCTCCTTGCTCACATTATTACACGACAATAAACGGTCCTGGATTTAGCACCTGGTTCTTCCTGATTCTGAGATTGGTGGTGTCCGCGCGGTGTCCTAGTGGTCGGGGCTATTATCGCTCGTCGGCGGCATTGCGACGGATTGGTTAAATTCCTCCTTCATTTTCTTTTTCCTTTATCCAGCCTAGTTCCTACAGTGTGGGTTGTTGCGTCGTTGTGCGGGAGTCTTCTCTAGATGGCGGCGGCGCTTGAGGTTGCGGTGTAGTCGTTTCCAAGTTCCGTTTTCTTTTGTTTTGGGTCATCATTGCAACTAAATTCTTGACTCAAGGTTCTCGTGGTTCTAAGTTGATCGAGGTAGTGGTCACCATCGGTGGTGGCGCACCAAGACTTGAGTTCGTAGCATGGAGCGATAGTTCGACGGCGGTCTCGCGGTTCGTTGGGATACTCGGCAATGGTTGTCGAATTCTCCCTTGCTCTAATGTGCGGTTTCCGAGTTGATCAGTTTCTTCTTCTCGTCAATAGTGAGTGCTGCACTGTGGAGCTAGAGGGGGCTCATTGTTTTTTCCTTCACTCCCTAGTTGTTGGGATCAACTGTTGGTGTTCAGGTCGTGTTGACATCAGATTGTGTAGAGGTTCTACTATAGAAGGGAACGGAGGCGGAGGACTTTGCCACAATAGGATATGCAACTAGAAGTGCGGTGTGTTGGGCCGACCCTCACTGTTTTTCTTTTGCAACTAGGCGATCAGGCAGAGGAGGCGAGTGCTGCTGGACTGCTTGATATCAATCGATGTGCTGCAACTGGTAGGCAGGCGCGAGCTCGCTGGTATCCCTAATCTTAATAGTAAAGATCAACGCTTTAACCTGGAGATGTGACTATGAAGGGGAACAATTGAGCAAGCGTCTTGATATTTAGAGCTTCTACTGACACTATCGGAGAAGCAACGTGATCCAAAATTTAGTGCTGTTGAAGGTGTTTAAAATTTTAGTTCCGATTCTGTCAATGCTCATTAGCTAAAGGAAGTTGCCCATTGGAATCCATGATTGTGTCATTGTTAGACAGGCAGTGCAATTTACAGTGTAGTAAGAGAATTTATGTATGCAGCTTGGTTGTCGATAATACCGTTGGCCTTACTAAAGAACCTCATATGAACAACTAGCATCTGTGACTCTCCTAGCACATACAGTTAGAAATTGAACCGAGATTAGTGAAACGTAGAAGAGCAACATTCGTAGGTTGTGTGCAGTGTGGGCTCAAACTCTATCTTGCCCAAAAAAATCCCTTCTCTTAACTCTTAATTTATTTTTTTGTTTGTTGATTTTACTTTATTTTATTTTATTAAAATTCATCTGTTCACAAGGTTCATCCAAGAATGAGTTATCATCTACAAATAACATTTCATCTGTCTACATCAATTCATCCAAAAAAAATGATTCATAATAGATCATCCATGAAAATTTTCATCCTTGATTAAGTATTGATTTATTTTTTATTTTTTATTTTTTAAAATTAAATCCTAACTTCCTACCTTTAAATCATTTTTTTTTTTTGTTTTGTTTTGTTTTGTTTTTTTAACTTTGTGAGTGATTTATTATTATAAGTGTGAGTTAATGGTAGAGGTTGGACTTGATTACCTAGGGTGATTTAAGAAGAATAAAGAGTGGTTCAATAAGGATTTAAATAAGAGCTACAACTTATAAAATTATATAGTTAATTCACTTGTTGTGAACTAGAATAAACTTCTAAGTAATAGAGATTTAGTTTAACTCACAAAACATAAGTATAATATAAAATTGATGTAATTATTTATATTTCATAAAAATATTTAAAATTAAATCACATATGATATGAGTATTAAAATTTCAGGAAATTATTAAATCAATCTATCCATCATAATTCCCTCCCTTCTCCCTCCCTATATCCTTTGCACATACATTCTTGAGCTCTTCTTCAGCATCATAACTATCATAAAAAATAGATTGGTATAATTATAGTTATTAAAAAATGGAATTTGTATAATCATAGAAATAACCAAGATAACAACATATTACCATCAATTGTTACAATTAATAGTAATAATGGTTTATAGAATCTATATAATCCTGATTTTGCCTTCTTTACCACTATTTAGAGCAGAAACCATGCACACTTGTTTATTTGATTGCAAGTTCATTTGCATGTGTCCTTCCTTTGCTTTGCTCTTACAAGAAACTAGCCTTGTAATTCCTTAGCCCTCTTCCTATTTTTAAATAAAGAACAGATGGAAAATTGTTGATTTTAGATTGCTTCCATCCTAAAATGAATAATTTTCTTAACATGCATCTACCATCATAAGGATCGTTTAAAATATTTGAAGACATGAAACAAAGTGAATATACTTTTGTCAACTCCCAAGGATATGTATGCTTTTAGATACCACTCCAAAGGGCCACACATTATTTTAAAATATGACAAAGGTGATGACATGGCACTAAAAAATATGGTGATTGCATTATATAAGAGAAACTCTAAAAGTTATATGATTTCTTGTACCATATATAATGAGCACTAATGTCTTCAAGAAATTAATCTTGATGGACATTTGTCCATTCTTATTCTTATGAGAATCATTATAACATTAGATATTATTATGCATATAAATATGATGCATTAAATAAAGTAGGTTTTATTTATTTATTTATATTTATTTAAAATATTTAAAATATATATATATTTTAAAAATATTATATATACAAAATCAATGGATTCAAGATGCCAATACTGCATGTTGTGGATGCAATAAGTTTTAATATGTTTTTTGTTGTTGTGGTTACTTTCCTTTGAAAGGAGATTAAGTTGTTCTTTTACAAGGTAATAATACAACTTGTTTAATTGTATAAGAGCCTTCAACTCTTCATCACAAGCATAAACTAAGATTTTGTACTAATGAATGCTATTCAAAATATCTTTTTGTCTTATTATATTATATTTATCTTATTGTTATGTATTTGATACATTTAAAAGAACATCTTGGCCAACTGCAAGAAATTCTTTCTCTTTGAATTACAAAGAAGTTTGTAACATTTTCTCGCAAATTAGACCAATATCATGAATGTATCTTTTGAGAGGGCCTTTAATATGGAGTAAGCCAATCTTTGTACGAAATTTTCACTCATGCTTGCCAATGAGGTTGTTGAGTATCTATAAAAAACTTGGATTCTATATAAAAAATAATTTGTAAAAACTTGGACAAATAGTACTCTCCACCTCAAGGACATGACTATATCATATGAAAAAGATCAATATTTAGTATTAAAGTCATTCATCAAGGTTTTTGTCAATGATCTTTGAGAT